GTCATCGTCACGAAGCCACCTTCGATGTCCCATGAACACGGTTTTCGAAGACCCGGGATCTCTATCTAGCTGGCGATACGTTGTGTCATCCATGCACCTTACACATCCAGAAAATCCGTGGACTACCTGCCCCACGAGATATCCGTAACCGAGATAGTCGTGCACCTTACATAGTGTGTCTAGCTCCTCCTTCAGCAGCCCCAGATACAGATTGATGTCGTTCCCTGGTTGTTTCGGCCCTTCAATTAGCATACTCATGTGAATGTACTTCCTCTTCATGCACAACCAGGGGGGAAGGTTGTACAACCACACAAACACAGGCCAGGTGCTATGTGTGCTTCTCTGGCTGCCAAACGGATTGACTCCATCGGTGCTCGCGCCCAGCACGATGTTCCTTGGATCCTTCCCAAATTCTGGGTATTCGAAGTTCAACGCTTGCCACTGGCTCGCATCCTTAGGGTGACTCAGCATCTTGTCTTTTTATCTATCTCCGGATCATTTGCGTCATCTTCTCGCTTCTTCTCCTCCCTATCCGTGTGCCAACGCAGGAGCTTTGCTAGCTTAGGGTCCACGAAATACCGCTGCAGACGAGGAGTGATCGGAAAGTACCACACCACTTTTTGAGGAGCTTTCTTCCTCTTCTTGTATCGAGTGACGCCGCACACCGAACATATGGTAGACTCCGCGTGCTCGTCCCGATAAATGATGCAATTGTTCATGCACACATGGTATTTCACGTGCGGTAAATCCAGAGGACACACGATTTCTTCGCCTCCTCCAAACTGGTCGGGCACTTGTTCCCCTTGGGAAGACGTTCGTGCCAGAATGACATGTTCTCGTCGAAGCATGCGTCGGCCATTTTGTGTTTTACCTTCATCTCCAGAGCCATGAGCGTTACTTTCAGGCGGGTATCCTCGGGCCTGCATCCTTCATACAATGGAGTAACCGCGTCTAACTCAAGTTGATCCATCTTGGCTTTCTCTCGGGCGGCAGCTCTTGCGTTATCCGTCTGCTTGAGAAGCAGCTCTTGAATATGAGGGTCCTGCACCCAGCCCATCGATGGTCCAGCGTCGTCTGCTCCGTCGGCATCATCATCTTCATGATCATGCCCGTCGTCTGCTCCGGCATCTTCCTCATCATCATGTCCTGCATCTCCTACATGATGACTGTGTACAGCATCACCGTCATGATCATCTCCTAGGGATTCTTCGTCTTCTCGCCCGCCCGAGCCATGGTGGTTGTCTTGCTGCCCTTCCTCATTTCTTGCCCGGCCCCCATGGACGACTTCGTAGTCATCTTCATCACCTTGCCACCGATAGCCATCCATGAAACCACGCAAGAGCACGTGGTCCCGCACCTGCCCGGAATCCGGGTCCGCAATAAGGCTCTTCAGCTTGCATCTTCGACATGGACATCTTATCTCCGTCTCGTTCTTTTGAAGCATCTCGGCCTTCGCGGACCTCAAAAACCTATTCACGATGCCTTCGGTCATCGTGCGGACCATGGTCGCCTGCGGGGTAGAGCAAAACGATATTTTAGAACCAAGAAAAAATTTGGCATGACTTTCCCTAAAAATAGGACCAAAAAGAATGCTTAATGCCAAAATTCTCGCTGAAACGGAAATGAATCAACATTCCGGCAAAATATTGGCAACTATCGCATTTCAAATACCGGTACACCTCCAAACACAAACACATATGCAGCACCACAAACATATGCAACACCATGAACATACATAGATCTAGCTAGGCCATAAAAAGTGCATGTGCACATTGTTGTAGGGAGAACAACATAAATATAGCTTCCCCCCTTACTTACCTATCAAAATAAGGTAATTTAACCACTTAAATTGAATGAATCTATGGTGGAAATGAGGTGAAAAAGAGGAGGCACCCGAGACAAGGAGGAGAGAATGAAGTGGGGAGAAAGTGAGTGTGGGTAGGAGAGGCTGTCCAAAATATCTTGTTGCTGCCCACTTACTAATGGCGCACCAACTCTAAATGCGCCATTAGTAATCCAGGTTACTAATGGCGCACCTTCTGGTGGTGCGCCATTAGTAGTTTTGCAAAAAAAAAACATACTAATGGCGTACTGTTCCACAGTGCGCCATTACTAGTTTAAACTAGTAATGGAGCACGGTGGAACAGTGCGCCATTAGTAGTTTTGCAAAAAAAGGAATAAAAAATATAATAAAAAAAACAACATTAGTGGCGCACTTTCCGACAGGTGCGCCATTACTAGTTACAACTAGTAATGGCGCACTGTGTCCGGATGCGCCATTAGTATGTTTGGACAGACGCACTAGTTAAAAAAAATTGATACTAATGGCGCACCCTGGGCCAGGTGCGCGCCATTAGTATATACTAATGGCGCACCGCTTGTCTGGTGCGCCATTAGTGTCAATCCCATCTATAGCCCTTTTTCTAATAGTGGTACTTGACCCTTGGCTTCGCCACGAAGCCAAGCCCGAGCGCACCTTGGGCCCAGGGGCTACTGTCGGCGTTCTGGAAACGAGGGTCCCCAGACTTGCCTGCCTGTGGCCCGCTGCGTGGCTAAGCCAGCAGGCCGTACGACCCATCTTCATCAACAAGGCATCCAAGACCCTTGTGAGGGGGCCAAACCTCGTGAGACGGACGACACAAGACCTCCTCTAGAGTGGCCTAGTCAGGCAGGCTCACGAGGAGCGGAGATATCAAGGCGAGGCAAACCTCATGAGGCTCTCGTGATGTGAGCCATGACGATCGGCACCAGGCGGGCACCAGGCAGGCGCTAGCGCGCGCAGCGTCCTTGTTTCCTCTTTGGTGCTAAGAAGGCCTACGCAGGCGAGAAGTACCGAGGCATCAGGCAAAGGTTGCCACATCGGTGCAACAAGACCAGGACCAGAAGGACGGCAAGACAGAGGTCATCGTGGAGCCCAAGACGGCGTCACCACCAGAGCCCTTCGCAGGCGGAGACCGCCTTTGTCAAGATAGCTTGTACTAGCTGCCCCCCTTCAAATTTGCCCGCCGTTGTTTGCTCCCTTCCCGCTCAATATTTGGGAAGAGGACCAGGGCCTCTATAAGTAGGACTAGCCACCACCATAGGCAAGGTAGGACCATTTTAGACCATCCAGAACCACACAACTTAGCCAGGCACAAGAACACCTCAATCTCAGGAGGCTGTTCTTCCCATTGTATTATTCATCCTCAGCCCTAGAGGCAATCCACCACTACCACACTGGAGTAGGGTATTACATCACAACGGTGGCCCGAACCAGTATAAATCTTGTATCTTTCTGTGTTGCGAGTTCGTCCGTGAGATCTTAGCGAGCTAGGGCGTAGATCGGTGGGAGGAAAAGGCTTCGCGCGCACCCCAGTGTTCGAACCTTAAGGGTCTGCCGGAACCCCACATCCGACAACATCCACTGTGAATCTTGATATATTGGCTTATTATTAATAATAAAGTAATATATGCAACTAGCACGATCTTTTCACACTTTTAATGTTACTAAATACAAAATCAACACATCTGGAGTTCGTTCCATGTGAGAAATTCGGTGGAGGATGTTGTGGTTTAATAGTCTCTAGGGACAACCGCAAAATGATATGATGATTGCTCTGTTTTTGCCATGAAGCTTACAAGGCACTAGGCGGTGCAGTACCACCTAGGCTCTTTTTTCTCTTCCACGTAGAGGTATTTCGGGCTTGATGTATGCACGAAAATGAGGGCAAATTACACATTACTCATCATTGATATGCTAAATTTCCTTAATTTAGCATGGATTTATCCTAACCGTGCATAGGAAGTAAAATGCCAAGCAACGCCGGGAGTCGCCTAGAGCTTTACGGAACATTGGCTTCAGTTGCTTTATGTAACAGGTGCAATGTTTTTTAAGTGGCATTAAACCAAATTTACAGTATGTAAAGATAAAAACTCGACAAACGACTCAAGAGTATCAGAAATACCATTGGCATGTACGTCACTCTTATTTCCAAATATAATTCTAGCATGTTGCACTGATAACAATAGGAAAAGCTACCTCTGATTTTTTTTATTAGCACTTGCTTGATCACATTTCATACTCCCTCCGTTCCAAAATAGATGACCCAACTTTGTACTAACTTTGTACAAAGTTAGTACAAAGTTGGGTCATCTATTTTGGAATGGAGGGAGTAGTTTTTAATCATGGTCTTATTTTTTCCATCAATGGCTGCTAAATTTGTCTAACATGATTGAGTTATTCCATACTGGACTGTAGCAGCATGTGCATAATCTTGCAGTTGATTGGCTCATTACAATTTTTTTATATCTAATCATTTTCGTTCTCAAAAGTAAAGGTAAAGACGGGAGCAATATTTGCCAATACATCAGTTCCTAGAGTAGAACTGAAACATATTGTGCAAGATGGCTATTGTAGCAATGGTTGCAGACTCCAAGAAGAAATATGCAAAAGTGGTTAGCAGAACAAACCAAAAGAGACAGAGCTATTCAAGTAGAAGACGAGGGCCTCTAGCTGGTGCCTGACCCCACCCTCCAGGGCCTCCCCAACCTGATCCCCAGGCCTATGCAGACCCAAGGCACAATCCATCTTCAGAGAACGAAACAAGGAATGACGCAGCAATTTCAGGTGAAGAAATTAGTGATGTACAGTATGAGAACTAACAGTTGTTCCATGGATACTCAGTCTCACCCACTGGTCTATGTTCCAACTACTACTCTGAATTATCTTGCCTTACAAGGATGAATTTGAGCAAACACACCATGCCAAATTGAGGTGACTAATGTTCAGATCGCTCTATTGAATCTGACATGCACATTAGTCACTGCCTTCAACATGGAAGGGGGTCAAAACAAGCATAGATTGCATGCAACCACATAACAATGAGAGATTCTTGATCATAACATTATATGCATTAACAAATTAGTTAATATGCTCATGGTGGACCCAATTCGTACATATTGCAGCTCATGAGGCTACAAAGCATCTAGGACCTTAATAAGCACAGCTCACTCAACAATCTTCAGATAAAAGGCACATCATTCACAACATAGCCCTCTAGTGTTGGAAAGAAGGCATGTGGAACAAGAGATTGTTTGAGGTGAAATAGTGTAGGCCAGACATCTTGGTGATGGAAAGTGGCCACTAACTTGCCATCCATGTCAACCTGAAGTAGGCACTCGGCAAATTTGACCAGCATGAGGAACTCACCATTGCCACGCACGACCCACGCGCTACAAGATGTGGCATAACGACTCCGGACACTGAAGTCAGTAACCGGCAATGGCAATTGAATCTGGCACTTGAAGGTCCAGACCTCGCTTTCATAGTCCTGCAACACCCAGATATTAACTATTTCGGTTGCACTAGTAAAGTTGTGCACCCCGAGCATGCCATCCATCTCAAACGCTAGAGAGTCGTCGGTACTAGGAGAACGCATCAGATGGAATGACTCGGCTGTGGTGTTGAATACCATCACCATGCTGTCTTCTAGGGCCCAATGCAGCCTACCACGGACCAGGACACCAACCCAATGTATAATGCGCTCCGCCTCCGGCGGCAGCGACCAGATGCTCCTCGGTGGATGGGTGGAGTCCAATGCGAAGATGTAGCAGGCCTCATGGAAGTCGGTCGCCAGTATTCGGTACTCTCCGGTTGGGCTATGCGGGTACATCCCCAAGACCCTGAAACCAGAAAGCTGTGGGAGTGGAGCACACTGACGAGTGGCCGGGTTGCAGATGGAGAAGCGGTCGCCAATCTTGCTGTGAAGGATGAGGAGGCCGTCGCAGGAGGCTTCCGGATAGAAGACCTCGCGAAGCCGGGCGACAGGCTGGAGCTGGGTGGTAGCGGCCCGGTTGTTGAAGACGAGGATGCTTTTGCCGCCGTCGGAGAGGATGCGGAGGGCGGGCTGGCGGGCGTGGTGGGCGAGGAGGAAGGCACGGGCGGAGGTGGCGCGGCGCCAGGCACTGCAGACAGCGCGGCAGCAGAGGAGAGATTTGGGGGGCAGGCGGACGAGGATCTCCCAGACCACGATCTCCTCGGGGAGGCCGCGGTGGGGAGTAGGCGATGCTGCTGCTCCTGCGGCCTCCGCCATGGTCGCCGGCTCCCGGCTGGGTGTGCGCCCTAGATCCGACTCAGAGCAAGAGGTGGGGATTGGGTCTGCTCCTCTATCTCTCTCGCACAAACAACAGGGCTGCATTTGGGCTGGGCTTAGCCCATCTCGCTCATGTGGTGGTGGTTGGACTGTTTGCTCTAAGCACAACAATAAGAGAGTTGTCCCTCAAAAAACAAAAACAATGAGAGAGTTTTTCTCAAGAAAAAAAACCAATGAAAGATTTTTTTGCTTCGCATTCACAAAAGAAAACAAGAGAACCTTCCATCGAAAATAGGGCGGCACTACGCGTTGGACGGCCTATGAATGGTTTTGATCGGTCACCTTCCGGGGCCATCTCCTGCAGTCGTGTATTCTGTCTCGTGATGTCACAAAGTGGAAAATAATAATACTGCATGTCTCCCTCTCCACAGCTCATACACGTACATAATTGACCTTCGACCTTGCTCCTCCATCAACGAGCATATGGCCATCCCACTGTCTCAGCAGCACCACCACATTGTCGCAGCACCTCCTCCCTCTGCTCGCAGCAGAGCGTCCCATTCGCCTCACCCCGTTGTTGCAAAGTGCCGCATGAACAGACTTCATCCTTTGCTTGATGATTTTTTTCCCTGGCTAGAGTGCATTAATTGTTGGACGGATAAACATAACAACTGCCTCCCGACTACGAACACCGCGACTACATCATGTCAGGCTGGGCATGACAAGCGGCATGTACGCCCATGCCGGACTGTGAGTCGATCTAGCAGACAGATCGGGCCACTTGGTTCGCACCGCATACCAACTGTATACGCCCCATCAGGGGCGGAGCCAGGGGGGACGAGCAGGGGCCTGGGCTTAGCCCATCTCGCTTACGTGGTGGTGGTTGGACTGTTTGCTCTAAGCACAACAATGAGAGAGTTGTCCCTCAAAAAACAAAAACAATGAGAGAGTTTTTCTCAAGAAAAAAACTAATGAGAGATTTTTTTGCTTCGCATTCACAAAAGAAAACAAGAGAATCTTCCATCGAAAATAGGGCGTCACTACGCGTTGGACGGCCTATGGATGGTTTTGATCGGTCACCTTCCGGGCCATCTCCTACAGTCGTGTATTCTGTCTCGTGATGTCACAAAGTGGAAAAAAATAATACTGCATGTCTCCCTCTCCACAGCTCATACACGTACATAATTGCCCTTCGACCTTGCTCCTCCATCAACGAGCATATGGCCATCCCACTGTCTCAGCAGCACCACCACATTGTCGCAGCACCTCCTCCCTCTGCTCGTAGTAGAGCGTCCCATTCGCCTCACCCCGTTGTTGCAAAGTGCCGCATGAACAGACTTCATCCTTTGCTTGATGATTTTTTCCCTGGCTAGAGTGCATTAATTGTTGGACGGATAAACATAACGACTGCCTCCCGACTACGAACACCGCGACTACATCATACCAAGCTGGGCATGACAAGTGGCATGTACGCCCATGCCGGACTGTGAGTCGATCTAGCAAACAGATCGGGCCATCTGGTTCGCACCGCATACCACCTGTATACGCCCCATTAGGGGTGGAGCCAGGGGGACGAGCAGGGGCCTGGGCTAGCCCATCTCGCTCATGTGGTGGTGGTTGGACTGTTCGCTCCAAGCACAACAATGAGAGAGTTGTCCCTCAAAAAACAAAAACAATGAGAGAGTTATTCTCAAGAAAAAAAACCAATGAGAGATTTTTTTGCTTCGCATTCACAAAAGAAAACAAGAGAACCTTCCATCGAAAATAGGGCGGCATTACGCGTTGGACGGCCTATGAATAGTTTTGATCGGTCACCTTCCGGGCCATCTCCTGCAGTCGTGTATTCTGTCTCGTAATGTCACAAAGTGGAAAAAAATAATACTGCATGTCTCCCTCTCCACAGCTCATACACGTACATAATTGACCTTCGAGCTTGCTCCTCCATCAACGAGCATATGGCCATCCCACTGTCTCAGCAGCACCACCACATTGTCGCATCACCTCCTCCCTCTGCTCGCAGCAGAGCGTCCCATTCGCCTCACCCCGTTGTTGCAAAGTGCCGCATGAACAGACTTCATCCTTTGCTTGATGATTTTTTCCCTGGCTAGAGTGCATTAATTGTTGGACGGATAAGCATAACGACTGCCTCCCGACTACGAACACCGCGACTACATCATGCCAGGCTGGGCATGCATGACAAGCGGCATGTACGCCCATGCCGGACTGTGAGTCGATCTAGCAAACAGATCGGGCCACTTGGTTCGCACCGCATACCACCTGTATACGCCCCGTCAGGGGCGGAGCCAGGGGGACGAGCAGGGGCCTGGGCTTATCCCATCTCGCTCATGTGGTGGTGGTTGGACTGTTTGCTCCAAGCACAACAATGAGAGAGTTGTCCCTCAAAAAACAAAAAACAATGAGAGAGTTTTTCTCAAGAAAAAAAACCAATGAGAGATTTTTTTGCTTCGCATTCACAAAAGAAAACAAGAGAACCTTCCATCGAAAATAGGGCGGCACTACGCATTGGACGGCCTATGAATGGTTTTGATCGGTCACCTTCCGGGCCATATCCTGCAGTCGTGTATTCTGTCTCGTGATGTCACAAAGTGGAAAAAAAAATACTGCATGTCTCCCTCTCCACAGCTCATACACGTACATAATTGACCTTCGACCTTGCTCCTCCATCAACAAGCATATGGCCATCCCACTGTCTCAGCAGCACCACCACATTGTCGAAGCACCTCCTCCCTCTGCTCGCAGCAGAGCGTCCCATTCGCCTCACCCCGTTGTTGCAAAGTGCCGCATGAACAGACTTCATCCTTTGCTTGATGATTTTTTCCCTGGCTAGAGTGCATTAATTGTTGGACGGATAAACATAACGACTGCCTCCCGACTACGAACACCGCGACTACATCATGCCAGGCTGGGCATGACAAGCGGCATGTACGCCCATGCCGGACTGTGAGTCGATCTGGCAAACAGACCGGGCCACCTGGTTCGCACCGCATACCACCTGTATACGCCCCATCAGGGGCGGAGCCAGGGGGACGAGCAGGGGCCTGGGCTTAGCCCATCTCGCTATGTGGTGGTGGTTGGACTGTTTGCTCCAAGCACAACAATGAGAGAGTTGTCCCTCAAAAAACAAAAACAATGAGAGAGTTTTTCTCAAGAAAAAAAACCAATGAGAAATTTTTTTGCTTCGCATTCACAAAAGAAAACAAGAGAACCTTCCATCGAAAATAGGGCGGCACTACGCGTTGGACGGCCTATGAATGGTTTTGATCGGTCACCTTCCGGGGCCATCTCCTGCAGTCGTGTGTTCTGCCTCGTGATGTCACAAAGTAGAAAATAATAATACTGCATGTCTCCCTCTCCACAGCTCATACACGTACATAATTGACCTTCGACCTTGCTCCTCCATCAACGAGCATATGGCCATCCCACTGTCTCAGCAGCACCACCACATTGTCGCAGCACCTCCTTCCTCTGCTCGCAGCAGAGCGTCCCATTCGCCTCACCCCGTTGTTGCAAAGTGCCGCATGAACAGACTTCATCCTTTGCTTGATGATTTTTTTCCCTGGCTAGAGTGCATTAATTGTTGGACGGATAAACATAACGACTGCCTCCCGACTACGAACACCGCGACTACATCATGCCAGGCTGGGCATGACAAGGGGCATGTACGCCCATGCCGGACTGTGAGTCGATCTAGAAAACAGATCGGGCCACCTGGTTCGCACCGCATACCACCTATATACGCCCCGTCAGGGGCGGAGCCAGGGGGGACGAGCAGGGGCCTGCCCCCGCCCCCCCAATGATCAACAATTTTAGTAGAAGCAAGTAGTAATTATCAACAAGATTCGCTCAATATACGTACTCGGCCTCCCCTATACTCGAATCCTGGCTCCGCCACTGCGCCCCATTCAGCCGGCTGAACGAGTCATCGCAAAGCCGGGTAGATCGGGCGGCACATAGCCAGTTGGGCTGCCCTCTGGACAGACAGGTGGACGCAGATCCAGCACAAGCGGAAGAAGCACCACAAGCGCGTGGGGCCAACGATACAGGCCGAAATGGACCACACGAGTGAGGCAGCGGTGTGACGGCCACATACCCTCCGCCGACATGACCGAACTAGCCCAACGTTGACAGATAACACCGATAAGTGGGTCCTGCTCTCTTCACGCGCGTTGGGTAGCGCATGACGGGGCACTCTTGGTCCCGAGTGCACACCCGCGACCCATCCTTCATGGACTCGGAGCACACGTGCCCGCGTGGGGCCAACGGTGCATGTCGAAACTTGTGTTCCGCGAGCTGGCACAAATGGGCGAACAACATGTGCATCTGTAGCGACTGAACCAATAGTCGAGGCCAAGACGCTGACAGGCGGCTTCAACCAGGGCCTCACACACGGGCGCGAGCACGACGAAAGCCACCCAATGATGTTGGCCCTGAACGCACTAGGCGTTCCACCCGTCATGGACCTTCTAGCCGGTTGCCTGGGTCCGAGACATTCGGGCAGACCTTCCAGCTAGGCCACCCGGGTCAGACTCGACCCGACCCAACTCCACGGCTTCGGCCCAGCGCGGGGCATACACACCACCAGGCAGGTGCGGACACGGCTTCGCGTGCAAGAAAGCGCCGACAGGCTCCCGCAGCAAGCCAACGGGTAACCAACGGCCAAGAGACACTCTCGCCTGCATGGAGCAAGGGAGGCGGAGTACTCTAGCATTATTTATATGAGTAATACCCTCCCATTTGATCGTTGACATGCACATTCTCTCCCTCTCGTCTTTCTCTCCAACGAAAGTGCAAACCAACTTAAGTTCGCTGGAGAAGACACCCCAATGGCTGCCGAGAACAACAATGTCGTTCGTGTTTTACCCATTTTATTACTTGATTATGTTTACCGGGGTGGCCCATTTGTCAGGAGATTCAGGGTACCCCCATTTTAGATATGCCGACAACAATGTTAAAGTGGCAAAGTGGCGGTAATTAGAGAGAGATTGGGAAATAAGTTGAGGGCATCGAAAGGGCGATGAAAACTAGCCGGGAGAGAAAGACCGAGAAAGAGAGGGGAAAGAAATAAAATGCAATAAGTCATAAAT